TCAAATGAGATCAATATCTTTGCAGTAGGAATAACTGATTTAAAAAAAGTTGAAATGAAATTTTGATAAAAGATAAGAAAAGTTGGAAAAGAACTTAGTTTGCTTTTCCTCCTCCGCCCAGCTCTATCGTGGGAAATCCTGAAACGTATGCTTGGTTTTGAGAGCTGGCTCCTCATTACTACAAGCCATAGATGAAGGTCACATTTCCATACAAGATAGAGAATCTGGAATATTGCAGATATATGCAGTTGAGCTGATGGCTGAAAGTCCACGGAGCATCCCCATGTCCTTACCCACAGAGAAGGAAAGCAGGAAACTTGATCATTATCTACAAAAAAGGCTGCTGTTTTTCTTTGTTAACACTTTTATTGGGCACAGAAAATTACAGAAATAGCATGGGAAAAATGCCCCAAAGGAGGTTAAATATGGTATTGTACAGAGGGACAAATGAGCTACAACACAATCCATATGCTGCAGACAACAGTAACATCCTACATGAGAAATGCATTCCCGGCATGGTAGTTTAGTGGCTGAAGTGCTCACATTGGACATGCCGGGATCCCATATGGGTGCTAGTTCTAATCCCAGTGGGCCAGGTTCCCATCCAGCTCCTTGCTTGTGCCCTGGGAAGGCAGTCAAGGATGGCCCAAAGCCTTGCGAACTTGCAGCTGTGTTAGAAACCTGGAAGAGGATCCAGGCTCTTGACTGTGGATCAGCTCAGCTCCAGCCATGGCAGCCACTTGTGAAATGAATCAACGGATGGAAGATCTTCCTCCCTGTCTCTCCTCCTCTCTGTATATCTGCCTTTCCAATCAAAACAAATAAATCTTTAAAAAGGAATGCACTTATTATTTTTATATATCTATAGTAATATATTTTATAGAAGAAATATTCTATAATTAATCCCATCTGAATCATTATATGGAAAACTTAAAGTACATTAGAAAAAGGTTGCAATATCTCAGAGGAACAGAAATGACTAATGTTCCTAAATTGTGACCTATAAGGAGGAAATATAAAAGAGGATTGTAGGTGAAACAAACACGACTTTGCTCATATGGGATAATCTCTATGTGTGAAGTGTGTGCATTTTGACGTCTCATATAAACAACAGGTAAATTATAATAGCAATATTCTAATTAGGTAATAAATATTATTAGGGGCATATTGTTGTAATAAAATAGACTATTTTAATATAATAATTTAAGCTATATTATAACTACATTCCCTTTTTTATTATTCTTTTTAAAAGATTTATTTATTTAAAAAAGGTAAAATATCAGACAGAAAGATATCTTCCATTTTCTGGTTCACTCCCCAGATAGACACAAAAGACAGAGCAGGCCCCGCCTGAAGCCAGGCATCAAGATTCCCTCTGGTCTCCACACTGGGTGACAGAATTCAAAGGCTTGAGTCATTGTCTCCTGTTGTCAAGGCATTTTGGCAGGGAGCTGCACTAGCAGCAAAGGGACCAGGACTCAAACGGGTATGCAAATATGAGCTGTGGGTTCAACAGGTGGCAGCTTCACCCTCCGCACCAGAATCTCCATCCTGACAGTTATCGTGAACTCGTGCAAGGCGCCAGGAGTTATGCAAAATCTATTCCACGCTTCATTGTTGTAAATTCTGCACATTTGGCAATTTAATCATTACCTTTGGCATTAGAACTGTAACAAGCACGAACATAACATTTCACAGTTTTCACTTATTTTTCCTTTTTGCCCGTACCATGTGGAAGACTGTTCTTCTATTCTTTCCCTGATCCCAATTTAACTCTATGCAAATGAAATCACAAAGAAATATTCAAAGTATAATAATATTTGCTCAGTCCACAGTCGATCTCATTCTGACTGTGATTGTGGAAAGATGGGTTGAAGTTGCATGGGGTTATAAAGGAGAGGGGAAATAAGCTGACTTGATTAACAAGTACAGGTCAATGGTACAAATAACTCCTTCCCATAAAAATGATTATATACAGACATCGTAACTTCATTATGTAAATATAAAATAATATGTGCTATTAAGAACTTTTAAAACAATAAATACATATCATTAACAAAATATTGTTCTTATCCTAGGAATACAGGTTGAAAATACTTCCTGGTTTAGAAAGGACTAGAAGATGTATTCATGGCATCCTATTGTGCATCTCAACAAAAGCTGAAAAAAACACAGATCTGGGGATGATGCAAGATGGTATCATTTGTCTTCTTTCACAGTATGTATGTTAAGCCCTACAGTTCGGATTAAAAATGTATTCCAAACTTTTTCACAACTTTGCTGCTTTCTGTCACACAATGAGAGTTAGGAGACACTGACACTCTTTTCCAGATTCCATTTACTGAGAGGTAGCTCTTCAAATATTTACCTAGAGCATTAGATAAACTAGGAGTTGAACTGAAATGTATGTTTAATTGATGTATAGTATCAGTGCTTATTGACTGGGTACAGTATTATAATTTGACATGCATAGATTTTTCTCTCACTCTCCTCCCTCTCTCCTTCTGCCTCCCTTTGTCCCTTTTTCTCATTCTGCCTTACAAATACACATGCACACACATAGTATGTAATGATCAAATACGAATAGCTAATACCTCAACACTTCCAAGTCCTCATATTCCCCATATACAAAATATTAGGAGGTAGAACAGAAAAACAAAATCTCATGCCTTTAAGGCCACAATCACCGACTTGTTCAAACCGACAGATATGCTAAGAATAGCTTTGATTCTGACAAAACAACACCAAAGGAGCTTAACTCACAAAGACATGAAGAAATTCTTTCCTAAAATGGAAAATTTGAGTCTTGCAGTGCTTTATGATGGGAGTTTCAGGGGTGCCAGGGGAGCATTAAATATTCTCTATAGCATGACAAGTGGGACTGGAGCTGATGTGATTAATTCTTTTTAATATTTATTTTATTTTTATTGCAAAGTCAGAAATACAAAGAGGAGATGAGACAGAGAGGAAGATATTTCATTCATTGGTTCACTCCCCAAGTGGCCACAATGGCCAGAGCTGAGCCGATCTGAAGCCAGGAGCCAGGAGCCAGGAGCCAGGAGCCAGGAGCCAGGAGCCAGGAGCCAGGAGCCAGGAGCCAGGAGCCAGGAGCTGTTTCCAGGTCTGCCATGTAGTTGCAGGATTCCAAGACCTTGGGCCATCTTGGACTGTTTCTGAAGCCATAAGCAGGGAGCTTGATGGGAAACAGGGACGCTTGGATTAGCACCAGCACCCATGTGGGTTTGTTTCACGTTCAAGAGAGGGACTTCAGCTGCTCTGCTACCGCACTGGATCCGTGTGAATAGTTTGAGACCAAGAAGGCCTTGGGACCCTGTACCCACATGGGAGACCTGGAAGAAGTACTTGGCTCCTGGCTTCAAATCAGCTCAGCTCTGGCCGTTGCAGCCGCTTGTGAAGTGAATCAACGCATGGAAGATCTCTCTCTGACTCTTTTCCTATCTATATATCTGACTTTCCACTAAAAATAAATATAAATTTGAAAATAATTAACAAGTGCTTTCCACTGGATGGGTCATCATCTTACTGTTTTAATAGGAGAGACTCATTAGTTGTAATAATAAAAATAAATCATTGCATTTTGAATAGCCATTTTTAGCATAAAGATTGGAGAAGCTAGAAGCATAATGGGAGCTAAGGATCTATTAAATTTATGCAGAAGTAAATCAATGAAAAGTATGTTTAGCCTAATATTTAAGGGAAGAAACACAGTGGAAGCTACTATGAGTGAGGATGTGCAAAAGGAAAATCAAAATATTACTTTAGGACTTTAAAATTGAATGAGAGAAATAAAGGTGCGGCAAATGTGACACCATTTAAAATAAAGCATTGTTCTTCATTACAGCACAGTTTTTTTGAAAAATAAGTTGTACATATTTCATATGACAGAATTATCAGAGACACTTTCAATAATAGGGGCTCAAGAGAAATGAGCAGGTGTTTTAATTTCCACTCATCAACTAGTCAGCTGACATTTCCACTAAGATGCCTTATGCTATTTCCTGTGTGCAAGTCCTTCATCTGGGAGCAGCGCTGTGTGCTAGAGCAGTGCTCCAGTGCAGGCAGTGCTGTGTGCTAGAACAGTACTCCAGTGCAGGCAGTGCTGTGTGCTAGAGCAGTGCTCCAGAGCAGGCAGTGCTGTGTGCTAGAACAGTACTCCAGTGCAGGCAGTGCTGCATGCTAGAGCAGTGCTCCAGTGCAGGCAGTGCTGCGTGTTAGAGCAGTGCTCCAGTGCAGGCAGTGCTGTGTGCTAGAACAGTACTCCAGTGCAGGCAGTGCTGCATGTTAGAGCAGTGCTCCAGTGCAGGCAGTGCTGCGTGCTAGAGCAGTGCTCCAGTGCAGGCAGTGCTGCATGTTAGAGCAGTGCTCCAGTGCTGGCAGTGCTGCGTGCTAGAGCAGTGCTCCAGTGCAGGCAGTGCTGTGTGCTAGAGCAGTGTTCTTGTGCAGGCAGTGCTGCGTGCTAGAGCAGTGCTCCAGTGCAGGCAGTGCTGCGTGCTAGAGCAGTGCTCCAGTGCAGGCAGTGCTGCGTGCTAGAGCAGTGCTCCAGTGCAGGCAGTGCTGTGTGTTAGAGCAGTGTTCCAGTGCAGGCAGTGTTGCGTGCTAGAGCAGTGTTCCAGTGCAGGTAGTGCTGTGTGTTAGAGCAGTGCTCCAGTGCAGGCAGTGCTGTGTCTATTACGTTTCCTTAGTAGAACAGTCAGGGAAAAATCATTCATCTCTCCACCAATGCCCTATCTGCTACTGTATTCCTCTTTTGTAGGATGATGAATATAGGACAGGGTTTTACTCAGACGGCAAAACCCCTTTTTTTTTTTAAAAGTCACTTAAGTTCCCCCCAATTTCCAGCACTGAAAATAAATGCTTCGCTTCTTACTCAAATTAAAACAGTGATGGTTTCACATAATGGCTCAGTTTTCTAGTACCTCCTTCTGTCGAAACAGACATGATTTCTCAGGAACCTCAGAGCATATTAAACAAAGTCTCACCTTCTGTATGGTAATGATTCCTTCCTGGGTGTCTTTGTCAACAGAAATCTTGAAGACCCCCAAGCCATCACCATCCACAATTTTGTACTCCATCTCCGCATTGGCCCCAATGTCTGCATCAGCAGCTTTAATTCTGGCTACCACAGAGGCTACTGGCAGTGACTCTGGAACGTTGTACTGGTAAGACTCTGTGAAGTACAAAATAAGAACTGAACAAACACTCAAACCAAACTAACAAAAATAAAGGCCTCTGTTGCTGCTTCGCTTCCTCTTTGCTTGATCTGTTTTTATTTTTCAGTAAAGAAGATACTAAGGCAATTTCAGACAAATGGTGTCACACAGCCTGAAGCAGTTTGATTGGGATGATTTGATAATGAACACTGTGTGTTAGCAGAAGCAGATGTCTCAGAGGAAGGCAAGGATGCATTTCACGTCTCAAGAAAAATTCTGCCCTCATTAAAGAAAATACATTGAAAATAATTATAATATAGCTGGTATAATCATTAACTATCAGCAGTTAGTTATGACAATGATTAAAATAAACAAATAATAAATAGAAATAGAACAGCTAAGGCTAAATGGGAAAATAAACATCTAAATAGTTCTGATAATTTAACATTGGATTTGGAAGTAAGTACAACAGAAGCTCATAATGTTTTCAGAAAAATAGCTTACAAGATAAGTGAACCTGGATGTAGAACACACTGAAATCTGCATAGCGTTTCAGAATACACATGTTGGTTGAACATTTTAAAGAATCCCCAGACATAACATTTGAAAACAGTTTTGCACCAAAATAAGCTTTTCTTTAATTCAGTTTTGCTAAGAATTTTCTGATGCCTCCTTGCATTGAGCTTGTTTTAGTTCATATATCTATCACACACGAGAAGACATGAGGACAGAGCAAGATGACTTTTGAGTGAGTTGTACGTAGAACTGATCTGGGGCTATGGCTGTTCAAGAAGAGAAGGGACAGCACTATTTGACCAGAAAGAAAAATAAGAGAACAAGAGCAACTTTCTCAATTATGTCACTTTTGAAATTACTCCTTTTCGTTATTCCTCATCTTCAAAACAAAACAACAGCAATGCCAGCCCAGGAAGGCGGAGGTGATGGCTGAGTCCTGGCTAAGAAGCCATGGCACTCTGGGTTCTTTACTATGCTTCTTTAAGAATTTACTTGGCTTACCTCCTTCATCTTACTGCATCCTGTTTTGACAGAAAAAAAACAGAAAACATTTGTTTTCCCTTAGGAGGGGAGAAGAGTGAAACATCTGGGGAAATGCACTCATGAACGAATCGTGTTCAGGGAGTGAGTTTCTAGATTGTGTCATTTCATCAGCCATGATTACTGCACACACTTATGGTTCTGCATGATCCTAAGATTTGAAAATGTCAAGGTTAGAATAGTAATTAATAAATGTTAAAAATCAGCAAAATGTAAGCATCAGAGATCTATTCTTGGCTTTCCTCACTTCAACAAGGAGTGCATTTAGTAAGCAGGGAACTCTGGGCGCTTACCTAACAAAGCATGAAAACTGAGAGTTCAAGTCCAGCTTCAACTCTTCCCCTCCCAGACTGGAAGAAAAGAGAAGCAGCTGATCTTGCTATGATTCTAATATAACTACATTCTTCCTTTTTCTCTGTGGAACCTCCTCCTCTCCCATGATAATCCAGAAAGATCACAAATAAGAACAGACTCATTTTCACACTTTTTATGAAAACCGATAAATTTGGAGTCACTTTTCTATACAGCCAGGATGTATAAAATACTTCTTGTAAAGAAACTGTATATACAACATGAATATCTAAAGAACCACCATAATGAAAGTAAAACAATGTTTTTAAGATTTGCTAAGAAATCTTCCCGGTTGGACATTACCACTTTCCTTTTGTGCTAGAAAGTTCAGTCTCTCCTTTCTGTTGGACAATTTTTTTAAAACTTTGCAAAGACACTATAGTCTGTACTAATTCCTTTATTTTCCTGAGCATTCTAAAGAAATACCACATAAGACAACTAAAAAGAGTGTGAGATGAAATGCTTTCTACAAACACACACCTTTACCCAGAGAATATGTTATCTTCCCCTTTTGCTTGGTTAAGTCAAAAAATACTTTGGTGAAAGAAGCTAAATTGAGGGCATTTTGTGTTCTAGTTCTTTGGACAGATTTCTTTTGAAATCCCGAATGTCTGTACAAGAAAGATGTGTTAGAACTGCTAAAGGAATGTGAAGTTTGCTTGCACTGGTTAAAAAATGTGTGGAATGAAAAATGAACATGTTTATGATTTGATTCATCTTGAAAAATAAAGCACTCTTTTTGGCTTAGAACTGATAACACATATTTGAATATTATCACTTGACAACATTTACATAATTACCATACATATAAGAAGAACAGACATTAGAAGTTTGTGAATATGAAATTAATACACTGAATGCCATTCATACATATCTAATATTCACCTGTGGATTGAACAACTTTAACTCTCAGAGTAATAAAATCACATATTAGTATATAATGACTTCTGTTTGTTTTCAAAAATCCTTATCATTCTTAACTACTCATTTAAAAGCTATCCTTGAAAAAATAAAGACAGAAGTTTTGATGGAGAAACATTGGAAAATTTTTCTTTCCAAGATTTTTTTTTTTTTTTGTACATTGCCAAGGACAATTAAGAGGAAAAATAGCTCACTTCGGGGAAAGCGGGGAGGGTTGTCGTTGATATCTGTGAGCGTCACAGTGACCGACGTCGTTCCTGACAGTCCTCCGTTTTGTCCAACCATATCCTTCGCTTGAATGACAAGCAGGTACTGGTCTTTTGCTTCTCTATCCATGTTTGGAAGAGCAGTCTTGATCACTCCTGTAAAATTTCAAATCCCATGCCATGTATCAGGAACCAGAGAATTTTGATATTGGTAGCAGGGTGCTTTTGTGTTGAAGTTTTTGCTATGTTAAATGGTTCACTTTTAATGCCCTCATTGTGTATTGCATATCATGTAATATCATGACCTTATTCAGTAGAATAGAGAAAGCAGTTCAACGTGAAATACCAGGTGAAACGTAAACAAAATGAACACATTGTCTAGGTTAACATGCAGTTACCTCCAGCATAACCCAGTACTAAAATTATGGTTTCCTTCTCTTTCCTGTTTTGAAGACTTACAATGATTTCTGAAAACTTGTGATCCGTTTCTAAGATCCCAAGTTAGATAACATACTATCTTAAGAAAGCATTTTTGGTTGTATCTGAGCACTTGCTCTTGAACACGAAGACATATAAGAACAAATACATGCCTGCAATATATTTTAATCATTTAATTTACACTTCTTAGTGAGCTGTTACAGTGTTACCTTTTTTGATATTCCTTTAAGAAATCTTATTTAGTGCAAGGTATCCATTGCCAGTGTGCGCTGAGGCAACGTTCACAGCAATGTCTTGCTCTTGGTTCTCTACCTGTGGCTTTTAATCTTTGAAAAGGAACAAATAAAATACTGGGGGGAAAAGTGCTTTTCTCTCAAACTGAGTTGGCATGTGTCTGAAACATCATCATTTTAGACGATAATGATTCTATGACTATTTCAAGTTGGTTTCTCAGTACTTCTGCTAACTCTAATCTCAATAGCACCGAACTCACTAATACTGCCACCAAATGTTTCTTTTTCAAAGTTCTGAAAGTTTCATATTTCTATGATACATTTTCTTTTCTCTCTCTCTCTCTCTCTCTCTCTCTCTCTCTAACTGTACTTATCCAGTAAATAAGTCTCAAAACAGATTTGCTATATGCCCTGTATGGAACAGATACCATTCATTCTTTAGTTGCAGCACCAATCATGGAACCTCAATTTTCTATGATGAGGCTCTGGATCAATGACAAGAGTCCAGGAAAACACATGAACTGAAGTAACACTGTATACAGTGTATTCATGCTGTAAATGTTGCAATTAATGGAATCATTATTATTAGAACTAAATGAATCTCTTAATGCAACTTTTGAATCACTGCCTTGAAAAACCTTCCTCAGGGACCCAATTGCCAGAATTTTCTATGATAAACTAGGACCTGGGTTATTTGCCTTGACCAACTCCCACAATAATTTATCTAGCCCCTTCTCTCCTTTATCATCTTTATTTTATGCAGTTACATCTATAGTTCTATGGTCATAGCCTTGGAGTTACTGATTTCCTCATTCTGTATCAATTTAGTAATACTTGTGCACATCCAGAGGTGAGGACCATGGGAACGCAAAGCCATCTGTCACAGCCTTTGCCAAAAGGGAGGAGTCAGTGCTGAGACAGACCCACTGAGAAACAAACAGGAGGCACTGTGTGACAGAGTGGCACAATGCGTGTAGCTCAACTGCTTGTTTCTCTTTTATGTTAGCAGATGTAACTGGATATTATGTCAGCACTCTCAGTAGCTACCACTGGGATGACAGTTGCATTTTCAACTTAAGAAACAATGTTTATGATGCTTAAAAGTTACATTTAAAAAGAAATTTATGGCCTGGGAAAGCAGTGGAGGACAGCCCAAAGCTTTGGGACCCTGCACCCGTGTGGGAGACCTGGAAGAGGTTCCTGGTTCCCGGCTTCGGATCGGCATAGCATGGGCCGTTGTGGCTCACTTGGGGAGTGAATCATTGGACGGAAGATCTTCCTTCCTCTCTGTCTCTCCTCCTCTCTCTATATCTGACTTCGTAATAAAAAATAAATAAATCTTAAAAAAAAGAAATTTATGAACTAAAATGAACAAATATATTAAATATTTTCTTCTTTTAAAACTGTTGTTAATAATAATTTCTTAGCAATTGAAATACTATTTGTATATGGATTTAATAAAGTAGCAATAAAACTAAGAATGGCAATTTTATTACTAGCATTTATCACTAGTACCTCTAATATGGAGAAATACACTATCGTGGCTTTTTTATGAAGTAAACTGATGATCAATTACAAAAAAAAACCCCTGTTGGATAAAAATAATTTTTAAATTAAAATCACATATTTTTATACGCATATTTTATTTTAGACAGAGGATCTAGAAGATGAGTCCATAAGTAGCTTCTATTTATCAAATTTATACCTAACTTGGTAGCCTTCATCTGTGGAATGATGAAGAACAGCCAATGGCAGCTTCTGGACCACAAAGGATTCCAGCAGATGTAGAGTCCTTGAGGGAGCAATTTCTACTGCAACCTGTCAGCAGGCTGCCCAGGGCCAAACCACAACCACCGCAGAAGACACAACAGAGAACCAAAGGTGTGGGAAGGGCAGATCTGAGAAGGGGCAATGTTTTAGGGTGAACCCGTCCACACAGATGCATAGTGAAGTATGTTGGCATGTCGTAGACAGCGATGGCAAAATAGAGTCCCACTGAAGGAATAACTGGTAAATGACGTTTAACACCTGATCCATTTTCCAGAACTGACCCTATGGCTGTGTGACCTTTACAGTCTTGGTTTAAATCTTCGATGACAACACACTGAAATCCTTACTGATTTTAGATGAAAGGGTCCCAGTTTCACTTTAAAGTGGACATTATCTAGCAACTCCTGTCATTTATCATATAGAGCCAAAATTAAAATCTTTGGCTTACAGGTAATGAAATGCTTTAATATGCCTGAAAATAATCCTGTTTCCTCGTACATCTGTGGACAAAGCAAAGACACGGGACAAATATTTTCCAGTTTTTTAATACTACTTATTTTTAAAATTTCTGGTGCCATTTAATTTCCATATTAAAGTGGCTTATCTACACTGGTTTTTGCAATTATCCACATTTTACCTTTGTGGAAAAAGAAATCAAAGTAGAAAATAAAGTTGCCATCTACTTGTGAATAGTAGTTTAGGTAGAACATGTGCTCAGAGGTTCTAATCACATTGATTTCTCAGAATTTAAGCAAACTTACAGAAATGCGTGGATCCAAAACTATCTATCTATTTTATATAGTTTACATATTTTAATGTCTTCCTAGGTTGCAGAGAGAAGAATCACAAGCTAGGGGATAGATAGATGCCCGAGTTGAGACTTCTCAGGTCCCTCTGTTAAGTCAAGCATCAGCATGTTCATTCCATGCACAGGATTTGTATTATGGGTCAAATGCCCTGATTCTCTTGTCTTTTGAACTTGCTCCATCATAACAGTGTATTCTAATAATTTCCCTTGTAGTTTTTAAATGTTGCCACCACATAGGTATCCAATATACATTGCAGTCTTTATGAAAGTGCTGAAGAATAAGTAAGGACTGAACTTTCTTCCCTGTATGTATCACAATTGCTGTTCTCCAAAGACACTGAAAACATTTACGCCCATAGTGACTTCAGAACAAATCAATGAATATGTAGCTGAGTATAAACATGAGACACAAGATCCATGCATGACACAGCAATATTCACTTGGGAACATGGGCACTTTCAAAATAATCATCATGAATTTATATATTTGAAGAAGAGTTATATTCCATGATAAAGATAATATTATCTAAATATAAATATTTTATATTTTACACTGGTGAAAAAATCAAGCTCAATATTTATACCACCACCACTCTACAAACACAGACTTGCAAAATTGAATATGTTAAAGTATTCCTTTAAAACCACAACTACAATGTTTCTAGGTAAAAGTTACTGAAATCAAATTGCTGCAGATTAAAAGCTAACACAAGTGAGACAAGCACATATTGTACCCACATTCTAGCTCACAGTAATGTAATATTAAACCTACTAGCTTATCATACTAATCATTAAGTTTCAACTAATTTCCTGAAAAATCAGCCTCTGTAGGGAAAACATGAAACTGTTACCTGTTCAATTGAATGACACTGCCATGCTCATTCATGGATAAAACACATCAACACACCATCTGTACCCCTATGAGAATTCACGTCGAAAACAAACAAAAAAGTGCATTCAGAGTAAATAGCCAAAATTTGCTTTTACAACCACGAGGTGGCAACTGAAACATTTCTTACGGTGACTGAAACATGTGCTAATGGTATTTAAATAACACTCTATTTATGATCAAAGCAAATATATCGAGGATTATAATAAATCATAGTGGCTATTTTCAGTGACAATTTCAGTTAATCAGAAATTAATGCTGACTTTAAACAAACACACAAAAAGACTTTTACAAGGATTCCACATTGCTGTCTTACCTGTCTTTGGTTCCACGGAGAAGTAAGGCTGTCCTTGCAGAATGCTGTAGACCACTCGGGCACTGTTACCATAGGTCGGATCGTCAGCGTCCGTCGCTGTCACTTGTACCACTGAGGTCCCTAGGTGATGATCCAAAAATCATTGAGTTAAACCCATTCAAAAGTCACAAGATGAAAGATCTCACAAGATAATATAGATTCTCCATGACATTACAATTTTTAAATAGCCTATTTTAAGGCACAGGCAATAATCTCGTAGAATTCTTCTTTTTATCTTTCTCCTAAGTCAGCCCCCCCCCGAAAAATAGTTGAAAAAAACTTCTGATCTACTACTCAAGGGTTTTAAAACTACTTAGACAGAAAAAGAACGTTGAAGATGGACCGTTTGGCTCAGCATCTATTGCTAATAGGATAGGGTGCAGCCAGGCATTTCACCCCCGAGGGTCAGGTTACAGCTTTCACCAAAAGCAGCTTTGATGAGAGTTCATCACTGTCCAGAAGGTTTCGTAACACTCAGTCGCATCCTCAGCACGCAGATCATTGAGACGCCTCACTGTTTGTTTAGGTAGAGGCCAAAAGAAACTGAAATGTATCCATTGTGCATAGAATAGTTACCCCTATATGGATACTAGGAAAGTGGCTACCCAATCTTCCTGATGGTTATTTCAGTTTTCCTATGTTTCAAGAAAATGACGTGAAAGCAAACTGTGCATAAGTATCTAAAATGACTCTCCCGAAGGAAGAAAAGCAAGGCAACTTTAAAAACGGCATTATCAGTGTTTTTCAATACTACATGTGTTAACATTCATACTGATTCTTCATTTTACTATGTAATCATTCCACAGTAAAGCAAAACATTAGTTCTGATAATCTTTCTATTTTTACCACAAATATAATGTTCAATACATGTATAACTCTTGATTACTTAGTTTGTATAGTTAGACAAGTAGTATTATAGAATTTATGTTCTATTTTATGGACACAGGACATTTATAAATTCTGTAAGTTGTAAGTTTCTGCATATGACATTTAGTTACATCTTATGTGGGTGCATTCTTGCACAGATCTTTCTCAAAGCCTTAAATATGTCATTAATATCCACTTTGTTACAATTCATTCTATCTTCCATATTAGTAAAATTGACTTTACCAATTCCATTTTATTTTCTTTTTCTTTAGGATTTATTTTATTAAAACGAAAGGCAGAGTTCCAGAGGGTCAGGGGGAGAGAAAAATGTGTGTGTGTGGAGAAACATGCAGTTGATGTTCAATACACGCATGCAGTTAATGGCTCATAGCCTGGGCCTGGCCCGATGCTAACCACTGCATGCACCTGGGGAATGTACAGTAGATGGAAGACCTCTCCGTGTGTGTGTGTGTGTGTGTGTGAACAGAGGTAGATACCTCTATTTCTGTCATTAAAAACAAATAAACCTTTGTAAAAGTAAGTTAAATTTTGAGTATTTTAAGTGCTATAATTACACTTTTGTTTCTATCTTTGTATGATGCGCTATCTCAGTATATATGACATAGTGACCAACTGATTTTCAATTTCATATTAAAAAAAAGTAATGTTTACTAAAACAGTGAAAACCAGTCAATGTATTTATGCATAAAATATTTTTCTGAAATTCTCATTAGCTAATTTCATACAGATTATATTATGTACTTTATACAGACTTGCATGTGCCCATATACACACATAATGTGGACATTTGGAAATAAACTTAGAGTGGTTGGGTTTACGTATGCAACTCTGGCAATGAATGAACTCTTCTAGATAATTCATGAGTTTTGAATTTTATAGTTAGTTAAAATTAAACGAAAAATAAAATCTTGAATATGAAATTGAAAATTTGCATTGTGTTAACCCTACTGCTGTCTACGTTGATATTAGCGGTTATCATTTGATTAAATTAAGCCATATCACAAACTATAGCTCATTATAACTCCAAAGCAATGTATTTTATATAAAACTCTTTGTCTAAATTTAAATTTTCATATTAACCCTTTGGTCCAAATTTGGCTCAAGTAAATCCTAACAAGGTCTAAGAAGCATTTCCTGAAATTTCTAACCTTGTTTAAATTCACCAAATAAATGAAGTGACTTATTGGTGTGCTAATAAGCATGCTTGTGAGATCAGAGTAGCATCTTCAAATAAAAACTGCAGCTAAGAAGCTGACATAGTCCCACTTTGCATCATTATAGTCTGTACTGCCTGAGCAAACAAACCAATACCAAAATGCCCCACCACAGCTGTGAAGTTGAAGGGAGGTGGACAAACACTCCTCATACAGGCCTGTCTTACCAAAGATCACTATGCTTAGGGAGGAAAGCGGGACTTCCGTAATTCTCAACCCTTCTTTGTGCTGCTGCTGTTGGTGTGAAGACACAGGAGGAAGCACTGTGGAGCTATGGGCACGGCCAAGGGGGAGTGGCTAAGGGCAGTGTGGGCAGGCCTCGCCGGGGTCATGCACTCCTTGCCAGCACACATCTGCGTATTCACACCAGAGACATTCGGCCCCTGGGGGCCACACTTTTTTTTCTGATCAGAAGCCCTGAATCTTCTATTTCATTTTCTGTTTCTAATTCCCTAACCAGCTAGAATCACAGAACAAATAATCATCCCCTCTCTCATCTGATAGCAAGAATTTAAGGTCACTGCATTGTGATTACAGAATGGGTACCAAAACTACACATCGTGAAATCTTCACTATCCATGTAGATGTCTTGATTGAGTTCGTGCAATGACTTTCATTTAAAATAACACAAATCACCTTAGCTAAAACCCTCAGGTGATAAAATAGGTCCAGTTCTGTTTTAAATAAACTTTCCAAAACAACAAATAACAAATGTATATCAAATCCGCCTCCTGCACTCCTCTGTACTTGATTATTTTGTAACATTATCTACATTTAAATTACATACTGGCTGCAGACCATTTCAGCTGTCTCTATAAATAAACATAAACCTGAGCTTTTCTGATACAAAGTACACAGTGTAAGTACTTCGAATTCTATTTTTTTTTTCTTTTGAGCAATAGGCAGTGTCAAAATGCCTTTGAGTTCAACTCTTTTACATATACCTATGTATCACTTTGTAATTATTATAAATACTATACATTCACCCAGGGTGATCTTTCTGCAGAAAGTAGAGGATGACCCGTGGATGGTCACTTGTGGATTCAACCAAACTCATTGCAATTAAACAAGATTATCACCCTAGCCTGCTACCGAGAGCCTTCTGCACAGACTGCGCAGAAACACGGTGATCTTTGGAGCACTGAGTCATTATTCTAGTCTTATGCAGATAAAAGTAACAAACCATCACCAGGCCGCATGTGAAAGGGTGCTGTTTAACCTCTGAGACATAACTATATTCAATTCATAATAAATAAACATTAAGCAGAAAACAAAATGTACAATCTGAAAATGTGTGAAGACATCGGAGATGTAATAAGATCTGAAAAGAATGTATAAAATGTAAAAACCATTTCACGTTTTTGAACGTATGCAAAGTAACAGGTATTAAAAATACTGGCTGTCTATCCAAACTTTCCTTTCACACTGATAATTGTTTTACCAATACTAACCCCATCCTGAAATACTTAATAGCATTATGGTTTTAAACACAAACTACTTAAAAATCAGACACAGACTTCAAACATAGCGTGATTTTTACTTACCCACGGGAGACATTTCAGGCACCCCTGCTGTGTATGGGCCATCCAGGAATTTGGGTTCATTGTCATTGATATCCTGAATTTTTATCACAAATTCAGACTCAGGCTCCACGGGCTTGTTGGTGAGTCTGTCCAGGGCTTGAGCTCGGAGTGTGTAGTAGGCCTGCTCTTCTCGATCCAGTCTCTTGGTGGCATGAATATCCCCCGTGTTCTCATCAATAATGAAAATGGAACTTGCCCCTTCGCCTGACAAGATGTATTTGATGGAACCATCTCCTTTATCAACATCAGAGTGAAGCTGGTGAAAAATTCATGTGAGATGAGATTAACTTACAAGAGAGTCAGCGATATGGGGATATGTAAAAATAATTCTCATGTCAGGCAGCAGTACATGAAATGTTATTGTTCTTGGAGAGATAAGCTGAATGATTACAGTAAATAGCAAAAAGGCGATTAGAATGTGTCAGCTTGAATGGGTGAGCAAGACAATCTCATTTCTTAGTGTAAACAGTCTCATTTCCAAATTTAGGAACTATAGGCAGTACTTTTCTTTGATTTGGTCTGTTCTTACCTAAACACAAAGCAGATATTCAATGTACATAACTGATAGGTTTGATCTGATTCTAGCCAAGAGATAAGCCATGGGGCATTTGTAAATATAGTCGTAACGTGTCATTCAACATGCTCTGAAGTTCCCTTATTACTCAAGGGAGTCCTTCCGTTTGCCTTCTCGCCTCGTCCCCACTAACACTCCTTTCCAGGGTTAGCACATATGCATGGGTGTCCAGTCACTAATATCTCTAAATCCCGTTTTGTGTGTTAAACTTTGAAGCCGAGGAAACTTACACTGCTCTCTAAAGCTGGACTTTTAAATCAGTGCATGCATGGGACTGTAACTGAAACCTTTCTGGAAATACCAAGAACTGCATTCAATTTGCATGATTAACCCCAGCATTCACAGCGAGGGCAGCACCTACTGATTTACATTTCATATCTGAAACTGTCCCTGTTGTATGTCAGAACACTATGTTGAACAGAGGAACCCTAGGAAACTCAGAAATGATTACACATTTTCCTGAACTTTGTAACCTGAGAAGCACACCATTTAATCTGTCGGTCCAGCCTCCTTCATCCTCTGTGACTGCTATCACTCTGAACTTCACATAGGAGAACATAGGAACACAATTTACCAAACAACAAGGCTTCTCACTGCGCCACAGAACTAGGCTTGCGTTTTTAAAAGATAAGACGCCAAAAACACAAACTACGGGAAAGCACTCAGCAAAACGTTGAGGCTCAGTCCATTTTCATGTGTCTCACTTGTGTTGCAGACGCAGCCCTTTGCACCACGGATTGACAGAGGAGAGGGCTCCCCTGCACAGTAGCACCAGTGTTTATCCTCTGCCTCAAGCCACTTCTGATTTCTGCAGTTTTTAGTTGAAGTAGAATAATAGAAACATAAATTTCTGGTCAGATCAATCCACTGGCCAAGCACGGAGGAATTATCGAACAGATTGCTCTTCCTTGTGTATAGCACTCCTCTGAGGAAAGTGTACTCTTAAACTGCCTTAAACATTGTCAGAGTTACCGTGACCTACATATCCGAAAGGAAAATTAAATGTAAAAATTTGAGTAATTAAGGGCTTACCAGACAGTCTCTATTCTTGTTCTCTACATAGTCTCATAGCCAAGATTCACAACTATCCTTAATTCCATTACTGATGGGGAAGCATGGGGGAGGAAAGGTCAAGGACTTCGACCGAGGTCATGCAGCCAGCTCCGTGGTAAGAGCAAAATTATGAACATGAGGCAGCTGGTGCAAGGCTCAAATCCTCACACGCCTTCCTGCGAGGCAGGGGCATCAGAAGGCGCTGCAGAGGAGAGCTTGGGGAAAGAAAGGGCACTCAACCATCTCCCAGCTGATCTCCCCGCATCATGGTGATGCTCACTGCAGCAGGACAGTTTCTACCAATGCAGTTTACAACTTACCACTGGAGTCCTTTTTACATCAGTCGATGCCAACAACCCTGCCACACTCTGCAACACAGAAGACTTGAAACAAATCCAGGTGACAGATGAAACACATCTTCAGCTACCTGCCTCTGAACTCACTTTTCAATGCCACCATTTGGGCCTAATTATCCTTCACCTGTGACCTTATGTGGGCTTGTCCATCTACTTCTGATAACTGACCTTGAGACGTTGGATGCATACACAACCAGCCATGAGAAGATGAGTAATGCACGAGTCATAGATTTAACCTAATCCACATTCAGGACTCCTATTCAGAGATAGCCCTTACCAGTCATTTGACTCATTCATGTCCACTGGGTGCTGCTTTCATGGCATAACAATATTGTGTCACCATGGCACTCCAGGTATGGGAGAGGAGATACATTCTGTAGAGGACATATACAAAATCTTACTGTGAACTTGAACCTAGTTTCCAGGGCGTGATTTCCATTATTCTTGTTTGCTCTCCATTGCTGAGATCTTGTGAGCTTCAAGGTGAAAAGTCAGATTGCAAACTTCTTCCTTCACTCAAGTATTAGGCTCCCTCTCCACTCGATCTTTCTTCCTCCCCCATTCTACATATATCCTATTTCAGGAGCCTTGAGCTTAACCATCCTCTTCATCACTGATAATTTTCCCCCAGCTGGTCCCAGCGCTAGGTTTGTAATCACTGCCAAAATCCACAAATAGGAAATTGCTTGCAGTCTAAACACAGTGTCCTCTCAAGGTTGGTGTAAGCATCTGCCATCAAATGAGGCTGATCATGTTGGAAAGGTTCAGATGGAGATAGAATTATTTGATGCAGTCAAAAATTAAATCTGTAGGACAGGGTGCATTGTTCTGATCTCACTAGGTGGGAGGAAACCATAGGGCTGGTGAATAATTGCTACCTCTCTCTTCTGCCGAGAATACTCATCAGACAGGACACTGTTGCAAGCATAAAAATGGTAGATGACTTCCTTAAACTGGCCAGTGTCTGAGTAGCGCATGCGCACACATGTACACACACGTACATCCTGAATAAATTACAAGCAGAACGGAGAGTGGCTGCCTACTACGACTAGGAAAAAAAATGTGCATGGCCCTACAGCATTAAGTAATTGAGGAAGCAAATGAGAAGCAAAAAGAAGTATACACTGCATTTCTGACATTGTAAAGCTTACTGTTATCAGGTCTGTGTCACTTACAAACATGTATCAACGTATTCCTAAGATTAGGCTGAACAGAAAACTAGCACCAAACAAATCACAAGTCATTAGTCAAGAGACAAACTTGATTTTCTACGTCCTTTCCAAGTATTTATCCTGGGTCCAAAGTAAATGTTTGCATTAAGCTTTTGTTTTTCAAAAATAGACACAAAATGAAGAGCACAGAACCCATACTGACGTCCAGGATATGATCAGTAGGTGGGCAGGGAGACATGGTTACGATGTGAATCCACCGTATCATCACATCAGCATTGCGAACAACAAAATACAAGAAATACTACACTGGCTTGGACTGTCGTAATCTGCACCACGGAGGAACATAACATTGCGCACAAAACAGCGAACATATTTGCCAATAATCCATTATGTTTTCCTTAATCCCATGCCTGAGCCACGCGTCATGATCTCTAGATACTCTGTCCTCATCTCATTCTGCCTATCACACTTGGAATCATGAGACTTGACCCTCAGTGGAATGCCACACGCCTTACCACCAAAACTTAATGACACATCTTGGGCAGACTGTGATAAAACCTGCTAGGAATTTTCTCCCTTCAAATACACATTGCATTATGTGACACCCCCATCAGACATTTTTGCATGTCAGTGTATCTTTACTGATGAATGTGAATAGTTGATGAGATATGAGGACCTTTTATTTGTCCTCAAAGCAGCCATGGCTTGGAAGGACTCCTGTGACAGACCGACAGTTAGCACAGTGTGGGACTGCCTGCCACATGGAGCATCTGGTTTTGGAGCTCTGTCTATTGAAAACTTATGTAAAGTACCTTCTGAGAGAGGCCATCTTCAGAAGTACCTGAAAATTTTGTCTGTTATGACAACACAGTGGCTAAATCCTTGCTCCCATATTGGCATGGGTTTGTGTCCCGGAAGCGCCACCTCCCATCCAGATCCCTGCTTGTGGCCTGAAAAAGCGTTGGGTGATGGCCCAAAGCCTTGGGACCCTACAACCGCATGAGACACCCAGAAAAATCTCCTGACTCCTGGCTTGGGATCAGCCCAGCTGTGGCCAGTGTGGCCACTTGTGGAGTAAACCAGTAGAAGAACTTTCTCTGTTCCTTCATAAATCTGCCTTTCCAAAAATAAATAAATAAAAATAAATCCATAGAAAGAGAAAATGAAAGAGAGACAGGAAAAGGGAAAAGAAAGAAAGAAAGAAAGAAAGAAAGAAAGAAAGAAAGAAAGAAAGAAAGAAAGAAAGAAAGAAAGAAAGAAAGGAAGGAAGAAAGAAGAGGAAGGGAGAAAGAAAGAAAGAGAGATACAAGAAAATGAATACGACATTTACTCAACTAGTTCTTGCTTCTCACTGCTTGGCCTGTCCACCATGTTTAATAAATATGCTTGTTTACTTTGTAGGGACTATAGGTGGTTTACCCCAACAAAGCGGCTCAATCTAACTGTGTATCATCCCTCAGGTCTCACTTCTGCATTACAATGCGTAGTGGCTATTCTAAATGCAGGTTGGACTAGTCTCCCACTGGCTAACCACAAGCAAACAATTCTACTTCTTTCTTCAACACATTTCCTGCCTTTACATGTACATTTACTGAAATTGCATTCAGCTAAATGTGAGTTCCTTTTTATTAAAGACTTGCTATTGGCCCCAGAGAGGTAGCCTAGCAGCTAAATGCCTCACCTAAAATGTGCCAGAATGGCATACAGGTACTGGTTCTAATCTCGGCAGCCCAGCTTCTCATCCAGCTCCCTGCTTGTGGCCTGGGAAAGCAGTCGAAGATGGACCAAAGCCTTGGGACCCTGCACCTGCGTGGGAGACCCAGAAAAGACTCCTGGCTCCTGACTTCGGATTGGCTCAATTTGAGCCATTGCAGCCACTTAGGGATTGAACCATCGGACGGAAGATCTTTCTTTCTAACTCTCCTCCTCTTTGTATATCTGACACTGCAACAAAAATAAATCTTTAAAAAAAACATTTGCTGGCCTCTTATTTCTTTTCCAGACCATTCTATTTAAATCACTAAGATGAAATTAAGTCATTGTGCTTTATATGGAAAATTTACTTTAGTTGAGTTCATATCCAAATCCTTCCGTAACTATG